GGGTAGATAAAACTACTACAATCAATGCATGGAAGTCCATCAATATAAAGAAAAATGCATTTCTCCAATTAACTAAAATGCAAGATGGAGCAATATTTAGTGGGTACAGGAAAGCGAAAATATTAAAAAATGAAAGATTAAAGTACTGCCCACTTTGTAAAGACAAGATAGCCACAGTAGAACACATTCTACTATCTTGCATTGGTCATAAGAAATCACAAATGGAGAAACATGACCATATTGGCATTATCATATGGGAGGGGTTAATAAGAAAATACACAGGAAATAATCAATACAAGAAACCCCCATATGAAACAGTGTTCCAATACAATGACATCACTATGATATGGAACAAACAAATAATGCCAAAAAGTGATGGGCTATATCATAAAAGACCAGATATATATGTACTAGATAAGAAGAATAAAACTGGTCTAATATTTGATATGACTATTGTGGCAGATCATAATATTAATGGAGCCTATTGGAAGAAAAGAAATATGTACAAGGAATTGAAAAATAGGCTAATGAAGATAGAGAAATTAAAGGATGTCAAAATAATTCCAGTAGTAATTTCGATTAATGGGCTAGTAAATGCCGAAAGTATTAAATTAATCAAACAATTAAAAATCGAAATTGACATCACTAAAGAAATTAAAAGCCTTGTAATTAAAAACATGATGGACGTCATGGAGCACTGTGGAGATCACAACCAAACATATGTAGTTGAACTACAAGACGAAGACGAAGGGACGGGATTAGTCTCCGCTGAGGCAGGAACAATAGACACAAGTTCTATTAATACTTAATTAACTTCTTTTATTGAATATTTTTTCATTTTAATTTTTATTGTTTTTAGTGTTGAGAATACCACTTTTTAAATTATATTATTAATTTATTAAACTCATTTTATCTTGCAAAAACATTTAAAAAAGAATGAAGATATTGAGAACAATCAACAAGAAGTATTTAAATATATTTGAAGAATTAAATATGAGAAAAAGATGGTAACGAAAGAATTTAATTAAAATCAACTAGTATTAAAAGAAATACAACTAGATATCAAAATAAAACAAGTACAAAAAGAGGCCAAAAGAGTTAGAGTATTAATAAATTAATAAGAAATATAGAATAAGAATTTTTTAATTAATAACATTTAGGTGTTTATTCATGTTTCATTTTTTTTGTAATTTTATGATATTCATTTTTTTTTCACAATTTCGGTATTACCACTTTCTTGTTTGTTGTGTTTGGTTAAGAACTTATATTATCAACCTCCAACGATTGTATAAATACTATATAATATCTTTTATTTGACTAATTGGTAATATTCTTATTATCGTTTTATAGATGTATTCTATTTATAATTCATTTTATTTTTAACTGTAGAATTATGAATAAATCCAAGTTAGTTATCATTATTTGACTATTTCTTCAAAATTAAGTTTTAAATTTCTGATTATTCATGTAGTAATAGTCAAGAAATAGTTTATTTAATTAGAAATAAATCTTTTTATTTTTAATTTGGGTTTTTCTATAAATAATTTACTATTTTTAGAATATTTTAATAAAAAAAAAAAATAAAAATTTGTTGTTTCATTTTTAAATGATATCAATTATTTATAATTATCTTATTATAATAATTTATTTAATAATCAGAAAATTAAGAAGATAATGGATTTTATTTATAAATTATTGTTTTATTAATTTGCTTTTAATTTATAAATATTCACATAAGATAGATTAATGTAAAAAACGAATAGAATATTAAATAAAATGGTCTTATTTTTATTTAATAAATAAGGGATATAAGTTGACATAAAATAGATGTAAGATGAATATGAAAACGATAAAATGTGAATTGAATAAAAACAATTGAACAAATTACTTAATATTAAATTATTATATTAGAAATAAATTTATATACAGTAAGTTTTATTTAAACTCCTTCGAATAATTTATAATGACAATATTACTAATTATAACAGCAAACAGTTAGATTCAATAAAATGTGTGTTATAAATGAAATATTCAAAATATTAAAGAAATGATATAATAGTCATAATAATATCTAATAATTAATACCACAAAATAAAGAAAGAATATTAACAAGAATACTAACACATAAAAATTTATATAATAAAATTTGAACAATATAATTAAGGAAGTTATAATAAATTAATTAATGAATTATAATATTCATTAGATTCTAAATTAAAAGTTAATATGAAAATATATTTTAAGTTAAAGATAAAGTTTTGAGTTATGTTATTTTTAACTTATACAATGTGTTTAATTAACTATAATATCATTTAATTTATTATTTATAATTTATATACAATAATAATATCATTAATATGTTTGTTATTTTGTTTAATATAATAATATATAATATGTTATATTATATTTTAATATCATTTTATGTAATAATTTATTATATTTTTAATTATTCTTTGTTTTTATATAATGATTTCGATATTGTAGTTATATGTGTTCTATGTTTTATTTTAGTTCTTCTTTTATGTTTATTTATTTTTATTTTATATATTATTAATGTATTTTGGTACTTGTTATATTATTTTGATTTTGTTTCTATTATTTTGATTTTTATTACCATTATATTATTTCTTTTTATTTGTGTTATTGTATTATATTATTTGTTTATATTCTTTATATTTATTATTATTTGATTTAAATGCTTTTAAACTATCATTATATTCATTTTTATATGTTTTAAATTTTGTTGATTTATTATTATTCATCTTTTTATTATGTTGTTATTCTTTTATTTTATCTTTTCTTTTTATTATTTCTTTATTCTTGCTTTTATTTTCTTTCTAAAACATTTGATCATTTCATTATTCATTCTTGATGTTCATTGATTGTTTCTATTATTTGATTCACTTTTGTGTTGTTTGATTTTCATCAAATTTTCAAATATACTCTAATTATTTCTTTTCTCATTTTATTTCTTCAACTTATTAATCATAATCAATATTAATTTCACAATGTATATAATCTATCTCTTTCTATTATTTTATAACATATAAGTTTAGATTAAAATACATTTATTATTTGTATTTCAATGTTTTAATTCATATAATATTCAGGTCATTACAGAGAATCAATATTTAATTCTTGATACAACATCAGTAGTTATCATCTGTATCATATTAATACTACTTTTTCTAGAATGTTATATTATTTCTTTAATTCATTTTGTTATTCTTCTACTTTATTTTTTATTTACCAGCTCTATTCCTATGGTTTATTATTACTTACTTGTGTTATTTTAATTCTTCTGGTATATTTTCATTTTCATCTATTACTAAACAATAAAATAAAGTAAACCAATATCACTGAATGAAATAAAACATGATTGATGTTATTATTTTATCATTAAGTAATTAAAGAATATCCAAGTCATATTTAACTATGAAACGATATGATATAGACTAAAAATAATTGGACATAATCAATTAGCCATAATAAAATCCATTCTTTTTCAACTATTAAATAACTTATCAGAGAGATAATGAATTTGTTAAAATCACTTCTTGAAATATATAAACAAAATCAGAAATTATTTATATTATTTTAGTGAGCACAATAAATCATATATAACTATCATAAAACTAAAAACATTGAATATAATAGTATTTCTAAATAAAACGAGTAAAGCACTTAGACAATAAATAAAATCCAATGAAAATAATTCATTAAATAAATAACATTTATTTAATTCATTTTATGTTTTATACTGTTGTTCAATAAATTCACTAAAACATTTATTAAGTTACATAATTTTATATTGACTTACTTTTTTTATTCAAACAATAATACATTATAAAATACGATATTGTATGTACTACTTTATTTTCTTATTTCCATAGGTCATTGAATAATAAAAATAATTTCAAATTAATGATTAATTAACTAATAAAAACAAAAAATTTTTATTATTTTGCTATTTAAAAATAAGAAATATAAACTGGAACATCGAGAAAAAGAAATAAAAAGAAGGCTAGAACTTATTAACATTTATTTATCTTTTTATGACTGATCTCACCATTATTGTTCCAACATACAATGAATCTGAAAATATTGAACAACTTATTACACAACTTGAAGACACTTTGAAAGATATTAATTTCGATATTTTAGTTATGGACGATAATTCTCCTGATAAAACTGGTGAAAAAGTTCAGCGACTTAAATCTGAAGGGCACAAATGTGATGTTGTTATTCGTACTCAAAACCGTGGACTGTCTCCAGCTGTTATTGAAGGATTTGGAATTGCTAAAGGAGATGTTGTATTAGTAATGGATGCAGACCTTCAACACCCAGTTTCTGTTGTACCAAAATTATATGAAGCAGTAAAGAATGGCGCTGAAGTTGCTGTTGGGTCAAGACATTGTCCAGGAGGAGGAATTGAAAATTGGGCTTTTCATAGAAGAGTTATCTCATGGGGCGCAGCTCTTCTTGCACGACCATTTACATCTGTGTCAGACCCAATGAGTGGTTTCTTTGCAGTTAAATCATCAATACTTAAAGGAAGCAAATTAGAAGCAAAAGGATATAAAATTCTCCTTGAGGTTCTTGTTAAAACAGGAGCAAAGAATGTAGTTGAGGTACCAATTATCTTTACTACTCGTGTACATGGTGAATCTAAATTAACAGGAGGAGTTATGACTAATTATCTTCTTCATTTATTTTCATTGTTTTGTTATCCAGGAACATGCCCACTTCTTAAGTTCATTGTTGTTGGAGGATTAGGAACTATTATTGATATTCTTATATTCACTCTTTTTATTAGTATTGGACTTCCTGGTGGATTTGCACAAACCCTCTCATTTATTACTGCGTTATGTAATAATTTCTTCTTAAATTCACTTTGGACATTCCCACAACAAGTAGATGCAAAACAAAAACAGAAACAATTTATAAAGTTTGGAATTGTTTCAGGCATTGCTTTTATTATTAGAAGTTTGTTATTTAAATTTGGAAGAATATATGTTCCAGATAAATTCCCATATATTCAAATGCTTCTCTTTGTTGTCATTGGTACTGTTACAATTATAAACTTCATTGGATCTAAGTTGATTGTGTTTGCATAATCAAAAAAAAACAGAAGTTATTTAATTGAAATTCTTTAAATTAAAAGAACTAGTTTTTATAATTTTTCCTCTTTTTTATCCTTGTAATTTTGATATTTCTTCAATAAATTTTTGATAATATTCTGGAATACGAATGGTACATTTTCCTCCTGAATGAACAATAGTAAATCGTTCAGGGTCAGCCTTTTTCATAACAACTTTAGAGATAGTTTCATAACTAATGTCATCAAGGAGTATAATTTTATTGTTATGAATTTCAACAATTAAAATAGAAATTGTAGTTAGTACTATTACTACAGGTTTCCAAATAGTTTGTTTTCCTCCTATATTTAAATAGGAATTATATTTTGATGATTCTTCTATAAGTTCTTTTAAATAATTATCATCTTCTTCACTATTATCATCAATATTTTCTTCAGTATTAGTATTGTTTTCATCTTTCATATTTTCATTTACTTCTTCATTATTTGAAGTTAACTGTTCTTTATTCTCGACTTGTGTTGGTGGTGTTTGTTTTATTTCTTCATTGGTTATGTTTTGATTTTGAGAAGTTGGTTGTTGGTCTTCTTTTTTTATTTCTTCTTTCTTTGTATTACTTCCATATAAAAATCCTATTAATCCATGTGTTAGTTGTTGTGTTTTTTCTACAGTACTTTGTGTAATAGTTTGTTTTAATTTTTTAGTACCCTCTAATAATCCAAAATTTAATGGTTTTCCTGTAGTGCATAAAGGACATGTTTCTGTTTCGTGATTCATCAATTGGAATCCTTTCATATTAGTTAATGCATTTTTGTGATATTTTAAAAATCCTTCTTGCATGATACTCACTCTCTTAACTCCTCTTTTAGCAAAATCTAAACCAATCATACTCAATTCACCAATGTCAGGATTCCCATCGACAGTATCATCATCTCCAAATAAAACAACGTGAAATGTTGAATTTGGTTGAGTTAGAATAGACAATTCGTTTTTGAAAAGATTTTCAAGATAATTACGATCATCTTGTCTTTTAGTATAATCTAAATTAATTGCAGCTGCTATAGTACCAAGATCAAAAGATTCTTGTCTTCTGCAGTCAATAAATAAATAAGGAAATTGTCGATTGAATTTATCATTAATAATATCATTAACTAATGGAGTTAAGAATAGTGATGATGTTAATGATTTAGAAAAGACTTTTTGATATAACTCACTATTATTCATTATACCAAGAAGAATACGGTTAAATGAAGATGCTGTTGAAAGACGAATAGCTTTAGAATATGCAATAATAGTTTTTATGTCACTAACTTTTAATGGTTGATTAATAACATTTAATACACCTTGATGATCTTTAGCATCTAAAATCTTTTTTCTTAAATAAATTAAGTAACCAACAACACAATAGATATATAATGTAGTATCAGGGAATGTAATAAATTCGTCCCACATTTTTGATATTAAATTAATTGAATCGCACATATTTATACACAAGTTAAATGCAAAAGTATTAGTGTATTCAGTAGGTTCTATTCTATTAGTATCAAGATGAATTGAAAGAATAGGATCATGATACAATAATAATATGTGAATTAAATTTTGTAGTCCTGTAATAATAGTAGGATAAAGATGTTTATAAAATGGATGAAACTTATATATTATTGATTTTGTTATTCCACATCTTATTTCAATACTTTCTTGTTGAAATATCTTACTAACAACAGCAGCAACATCAACAATACAATTAAAGAAAGGTTGTGTTCCAATTGGATGAATTGAACTAGCAATTTTATTTGTTTCTTCAATTAATATTTCATTATCTTCAACAATCCATTTTGAAACATAGTTATTAGCTGTTTTTTCTTCAACAATTTCTTTCTTTGGTTGAAGGAATAACTACTTTATAAATTTGACCCTTTCTTTTAATAATTGTATAACAACAAACTTTCCATATTTCTAATCTCAATGTATCAGGTATTCCAAATTCCCTACACAACTCTCTCAGTAAAACAACGTCTATAGAATTAATTGCTTCTTTCATATATTCAATAGCCCGTTCAGGTGTTTCCATTATTGATTGAATTTTAAGTTTTATAAGTTTATCGTTAAATTTAGTAACAAACTATTATATTTTGGATTTTCTCATAGAAACAAGTTCTTTCTTTTATTTGTTTTATAAAAATGTAATGAGATATATAACACAATTAATTATTCAGAAGATTCTTTCTTAATTTCTACAATTTCTGGTTCATCATTTGGATCAAAGTATTGAATACTTGATTCACTGGATGCAATTGTTATAACTTGTTTTGGTGAATCTTCATCAACAGAAATTATTTCTGACAATCTTCTTTTATAGCACAACGGTGGAGTATTAGTTCTTTTAATGAAGGATTGGTCATCTTCTATATTGAGATCTAACGAATGCCATTGACCCTCAGTTTCTATTGACATTCTTCTCAACTGAACTTCTTTAGGAGGTTGTTCGGTAACCCCTTGATGAGGTTGGTTTAGTTGTTTTTTAGTAAATGTAGGTGTCATTACCATTGCATCAACAGGGTCCAAATCTTGAGGAATATCTAAAATTCTTTTATAACTTGGTTGACTTTCTGTTGATTCTAAGCTCATTCGTTGAGGGGGAATAGCGTCAACAATATGGTTATCTTTTACAGGTTTTGAGTTTGTTTTAATATTGAACGTTCTGATAATAATAGGGTCAGGTTTATTTTGAAGAATCATTTGACTAGTAAACACATCTTTAGTCGAGTTGTTATTAGGTTGAGTTGGTGCAGTAGTTCTAAATTGAGGAAATGAATAATTTTGTTTCATACTAAGAGATGTTTTTCTAGTAGGGATACGAATAACTTTGCCATTGGACATTTTACTTTCAACCATTTGATTTTCTTTATTTAATTCTTCACTTTTGATTTTACACTTTACAAGTGATTCTTTTTTGATTTCTTGTACTTTTTGAGATTCATTTTTAATGGATGGGGATTGACTAAATTGAACAAAAAAATTATATAAATCTTGTTCCCAATTTTTGTCTGCAATTACAAGTGATTTTTTCATCCATCCAGATAACATTTCTTTTACTGGATTTGTTGAATATCGTTTATCTAATAATAAAAATGCTCCATAATCATTAATGTGTCTAATTACTCTACCTACAGCTTGATTAACTGCTCTTAATGCTTGAATTGAATACCATTCACTTCCACTAAGACAATCAGGATTTTTAAGGTTTTCTTGATTATTATAATCTCTCTTTAAATTAACATTAATATCTCCTAATGATGGATAAGGGATACCAACAATAATAACAACTCTTGCCATGTCATCTCCAAAATCAATTCCTTCACTTAATTTTCCTCTAAACACACCCAAAAACACAGCACCTGTTTTTGATAGTATTTGGTATTCTTTGAAATCTTTTTTGAATTCATTTTTATCTTTTGATTCAATAAAAATTGCTTTAAGCTTATTTAGTTGTGTATACACTCCTTGTTGTTTCCATAACTCTACTACTCGATTTAACATACTATAACTAGCAAAAAAAACTAACCCACCTCCAGGACTTTTACTTAAAACTCGAAACATAGTATTCCCAGCTTGTTCTATCATTTCATTGTCTTGACTCGTTTTCTTAGTAAAAATAAATGACTTTCCAAATGAACTTGAACCAATAACTCTTCCAAATACATGACTTGGTGGTACAACGTGTTGTGTTGAAAGCATCCGATAACCAGGAGAAATAATGATATTTTTGTATAAATGTTCTTTTATATTTAATTCTTGTGCCATAGCTTTCATTGGGCTTAATGTTCCTGAAGCGAATATAACTGACCTAACCTCTCTTTGTAATAATGACATTGGTAAAGATGGTGAAAGACATCTAAACAACATTTCTCTTAAATCATTACGTTCAGTTATAATAATTTTAAAAAATTTAGTTAGTTTAGGTGTTCTAAATACTTGTATATAAAAAAGAACCATTTCTATATATTGAGTAGTAAAAGGATTGACATATCTTATTAAATGAGGTTCTTGTATAAGATCATCTAGGTTATCTACTAATTTTATGTACTCAAATATTGCTTCTGTCAATCTTGTTGATGATGGTGATCGTTCAATAAAAGGTAAAAATGCTTGGTCTTCAAATACTCCATATAGACATTGTTCTGAATCTTTAAATGGCAACGACCTATTTTCCATCCAAATAGAGAAACTTTCTATAGTGGAAATAAGTTCTCCTAGAAGAGAAAATGAACGAAAATTTTCTGGAGTTTGTTTGATTCTTTTTTGATGAAATTGAATTGTTTCGATAGTTCGATTTAATAATGTTTCAGTAAAGGTAAATGTTAACGAATCCATAAACGCATCTTCTACATTATGTGCTTCATCCATAACTAAAACAAACTCATGCCGATGAATATCATTCTCATCAATAAGAAAAATATCAGACGAGTGCCGAATACTAACGCTAGTAACAAAATTATATGGACATAGTATTAGTTTACTTCTTTTTGTTGCCCATCTTGAATAATAATAAGGGCATAGATTATGTTTCTGACATACTTTAACAAGATCATCTTGTATTTTAATAACTCCATTTAATTCTTTATAAACTGCTTGACATGCCATAACAACATTAGGTAATACTTTTCCATCATTTCCAAATGGTCTATAAGGACATGGCTTAATATGTTTTAATGTTTCTAATACATTTGGTTTTGCTGTGCACCAATAATTTTTATCATCACATATCCTAATTGGATTATAAATACAATACAAGTCTCTTGAAGCTAACACAATTCCTTTTATATCTCCAATTTTCTTTGTTTCATTCACAACTTGAGCCAACTGACTATGAGTCCTTGAAGCATAAACAATTCTCATGTCTGGAAAAGTTAATGTTGAATGTAATAATACTAATGTTTTTCCTGTTCCTGTTGGACTTTCCATTAATAAATGTTTTCCTTCTTTTACTGCTTGTTGGATTGAGTTCATCATTTCTATTTGAGGTTGGTATGGTGGTTGATATGGAAAACTTTGTGCTAATAATGGTATTCTTTCATTATAAACGAGATGCTCAACACTTTTACTAGTAGTGATATGAAGTACTTTATTTAATTCTTTAATCAAAGGTAATTGAGTTGCTTGTTTTTCATCATCAAAACTATCAAGACTTTTTCTTGGATCAACTCTAGTACTTGTTAAAGCAGGTTGATATGATGATATGAATGTATTAAAGAAATCTTCATTGATTGGTTTGTTTGTATTATCATCATTAACACTCATTCGGAACAGAATTCCCAATTTTTGAGGTTTTTGTTATTTCATTTTACTTTATTTTATTAAATAATTATAATATAAATAATTTAAAAATATCATTTCTATTTATTTAACTTTTTTCGTTATTTATAACAAAATAATCTAAAAAAAAAAAAAATAAAATTAAAAACTTCAAAGAAAGAGAAAGAGATGGAAGTAGAAAACACCACAAAACCAGAAGTTAATGAAGAGGATGAAACAAAGTTATCCATTGGAACTAAAATTGATAAACTATTTGTTGAATTAGAAAAAGCATTTAATGAACAAAACAAAGAAGAAACAGAACGTTTACTTCAAGAAACTAATACACTTATTGAAAAAGGTGGAGATTGGGACAGAAGAAATAGAAGAAGAGTTTATGAAGGGTTATACCTTGTTAAGTTTAATCGAGATTATGCAAAGGCTTCAGAACTATTAGTAGGATCAGTTGGGACATTTGCAGTTAATACATTAATGACATTTGAAAGATTTGTGTTTATTGCAAGTGTTACTGGGATTTTAATTTTTGAAAGAGGCCGAATGAAAAAAGAAATTTTAGATAATTCTGATGTTATTGGAGCATCAGGAGAATTTAAATGTTTACTCAATATGGGAAATGCCTTATATAAAAGTGATTATACTACATTTATTAAAGAATTAAAAGAAGTGGTTATTTTAATGATGCAAGATAATATTCTAAATAAGTCTGTTGATTGGTTTTGTAAAGAAATGAGAATTAAAGCATACAAACAAATCATGAGATCATATTTGGCTGTTCGTTTAGATGTTTTTGCTAAAGAATTTGGAGTTACTAATGACTTTATTGAAAAAGAACTTGAGACATTCATTTCACAAGGACGTCTTGCTGCTCAAATAGACAAAGTAAATGGTATTGTGATGAATGCGCATAAAGACAAAAGGAATGAGCTTTATGTGAATTTAGTAAAAGAGGGAGATATTGTTGTTGAGAAATTACAACGATTAGAACGGAAATTAGAATAAAATTTATGGTTTTTTAAATTTTGTTATTTTTTCTTTCAGAACTTTAAAATCATTATTCTAGTAATGACGGAAACAAAAGAAATTAGACAGGATATTAACAACTCTGAAAAATCCCCCTTTTTGAATAAAGAGGAATCAACTTTTCAAAGTGGTGACCAAAAAGAAAAAGTTATGCTTACTGAGAATCCTAATAATGAAATAATAATTCTTAAGAACAGAATCAATGAGTTGTTATATCAAAATGAAGAACTTCTCATCAAAGTTAGAGCTATGGAACATCTGGTCAGTGAAAAAGTACAATCCCCGAATTCTAGTTATATTCAAATTATTAGAGAACAATTACTTAAAAAATGTAAAGAAAGTCATGACCTTGAAGTTGAGAAAAGTCATGTAATTGGAGAGTATGAGAAAATTAGTGATGTTTGTGTTAAATTAATGAAGAAAGAACAAGAAGACTCTAAAACAATTAAATTTCTTCAAGGAGAAACAAAACGCCTAAGTGAAGAGTTAATTAGCACATCTGATGAAAAAAATCAGTTTGAAACAGCAATGAGCTTAAAAGACCAAGAAATCTTAAAACTAACAAAATTAATAAATTCAGATAAGAGTAAATTACTTTTGAGCACTCAGTTAAAAGAAAAAGATAAAATTATTTCAGAATATCAACAGAAAGAAAAAGCAATTATTACAAAAGACAACCTAAAAAAGAAAGACATCTTAGAACAACAACATGATTCATTTTATAAAATCACTTGTTACTTAAGATCACTTCATGTTATAGAACGAATAAGCAGAACTACTTCTGCACCAAATCAAATTTTTTTGCATCAAAAGTTGAAGAAAAACAATAAAGTAGAACTTATTATTTTTTGTTCTAATCCACAAGTAAAGTTTGTGCTTATTCACGAAGCTAATAATTTATTCAATAACCAATTCATTTCTGGTGCGATGTTAGTAGATGGGATTTGTTCTATTTATTGTTCAAAGGGGATTTATCATATTTGTGGATACTATGATTCACTTCACAATATTGTTTGTAAAGAAATAACTTTATAAAGAAGAAAAACATCATTAAGTTACATTTTTTAATCATTTATACCATTCTGTTTTTGTACTGAATCATAAATATTTAATAGTTTATTAACTACCTCACAATAAGACTTACACTTATATTTTTTTCTGAAGTCTTGTAGTTCTTCAAATGCCTCTAATGTAACTCTGACTTTAGGAAATTTCTTTTCATCTTCAATGAGTTTTTTGTCTGTTTTCTCTTCGGGATTCAGTTTTTTTGGTTTAGTTTCTATAGTTTCTTTGTAATTAACGTCTTTTAATTCTTTTAGCCCTTTACTCAGTTTTTTTGGTGTTTCAGTGAGAGGGATATGGTTTAGTTTAGACTCATCAACAACTTCTATGACAAGATTTCCTTTAACAAGGACTTTGACAGGTCGAAAACAATTCATAAAATAAAAATTAGTTGTTTAATGAGATTTCGAGTGATTTCGAGGTAATTTTAAACCCAGAAACACTGACAAAAGTTCTATTTTGTAGTTGCCAATTGGAAAATGAGAAAATAAAGAACAAAAATAGAAAATGAAATCATAAATTACAAAATAAAAAATAAAGAAAATTTATACAACGTCTCTGTAAATTCGAGGTGTTAAGCATGGAGTATAATGATCATTTAATGCAGTTCTTGGTGGAGAGAATGTATTTAACCTAACAGAATGTATTGATATTTTAGATGAATTTTTAGTATTCCTCACAGGATCAGAAAGGAGAGGCATTAATGGTGGGTTTTGTTCATCAAAACTAATTGAATGAACCAAAGGTTTTTTGGTTTCTAATGGTTTTAAAGTTTTAAATAATTCAGGAGTATATTTATCAATTAATCCAATATCAACGTTCTGTGTATTAATCGAATACACTATAATGGTTGAATGATCTAATTTACCTGGCAAACCATCTCGTCTTCTTTTTGTTGGATTATTTTGATGAAACTCACGTACTGTTTGGGTTATTTCAATAATATAACTACATAATTCTTCAACTAATGAATTTAAATTTGCACTTCGTTTTATTCTTATTCCAAGAATTTCATTAATTAATTGATCATAAGGCTTTTTTTCTTTAATTATAATAGGATCAAAATTGTCATACACACCATCAGTAACTGCAAATATTAAATCACCTTCTTCACACTCACAAACTGCTAGTTGACTTCCATTAATAATGTCTGTTCTTAGTTGATTATTTCCTAATGCTGCAATACATTCTTTAGTTTCGTCAATTGAATGATGACCAGTTCCTATAATTTTTTTTACTTTACACTCTCTTAGAGAGTAATGAAAGAGTCTACAATCACCTATAGATAAAACAACAGTTACTTGTTGATCATCTATTAAAGAAAAAGATAGCGCAACAAGAAGGGTTGTTTGTGCGTTATTATTAGGATGTGACGAACAGATCTATAAATGAATTTTTTCAATTCATTGAAATATTGTGAATTTAGACAAAAATAGAACAAACAATTTGATTTGCATTTGCTATTGTTTCTACTAACAAAGAAGCACTCTCTCTTAAAGTGCTGATCGTTGTTATACTTGATATAACAAATTCTAATGAACTTGTTACTGCTAATTTAGCTGCAAATGATGGTTTATCTCCCCATCCACAACCATCTGCTAAAGCAATGAACGTTGCATTATCAAATCTAACAATTCCTGCCCTATCACAATTAGGTTCTCCTTGTTTTACTCCATTAATAATTGGATATGTAGATATTGAAGCCATTGCAAAGTACTGTTCTCTTGATTTAATTGATACAGTATCAGTAATAAGATGTTTAGAGTATTGTTTATTATTAATTCTTTTGATTTCTTTTTTAGGGATTGTTTTAATTTCTTTTTGAAATATCTTCTTAAAATTGATGGAATCTGTTTGATGCATTTTCTAACAAAATGTATTTTGAGTTATTTTTTGTTCTTCTCTATTTTTAGCTTTTTTTATTTTGTTTTTTATTTCATCACAAACTATAAAATATCTTTGTTGAAATATAATTAATCATCATTCCATTGTCATCTCATTAACGACTTGTGATAGTGTGTAATAATAGTTGTATGGGAAATGATCACTAAGACTTAGTACTTTAATAAAAAGCCAGCCAAACTCTTTATTTTCACGTTCAAACAAGCGATATTTTTTAACGCCATGTTCTTTTCTTTTTTGGATATGAAATACTCTTCCTGGTGGTACTAAGACTGATGAGTCTATAGTATTTGTTGATTCATAAAAACGGTTGAAAGCTTGTTGGTATTGCTCTGTTGTTTCTTTTGAGTTGAGAGAGATTAAACTAGTATTATTGTAAATAGAACGAAACTCGTTGATTAATGGTTGAATATTTTTAATTGAATCAAAAGATAGTCTAGGAACAATATCATTTTTTGATACTACGGAATCAATCAGTGAACGAACTAATGGAGATGAAGCTATATTCAGTGAAAGGACTAATGCAGGTGCTAAACAATAACCATGAACTAACCAATCGGGGTGATTTTTATTAATTTCTAAAGTCAACAATTGGGCGACTCCACCACCAAGAGAATGACCAGCAATAGTAATTTGAAAAGAAGGGTATTTCAGTTTAAGCATTTTTAATGTTGGGATGATTTGTAGATATTTATTAAGAGCGGCTTTATAGATTCCAGCATGAGTAAATCCATTAATTCCAGCAA